AAGGATTTTGTCATGGGCAAGATTGCAGACGCGTTCATGAGCAGTGACCCCAAGATGGTGGAGCTAAGGTCGCAGATGCTTCACAAGGCTAGCATGGTGCTGCCACAGACACAAGCAGAACTACAAGGGCAGACCACCCAGGCGACTGGAGGAGATGCGAGGAGGTACCCGATCGACGATATCGTCAAAGCAATGCCTTGCCACCTCATGGTCCCTTACGACAGGAAGGTGAGAAGAATGATTGTGGTGGCCGAGGCAATGGCATTACTGGGACGCATGTACCATAACAATCTGATACCGACCGACTATGCCTGGGTGAAGGTGACTTGGATCCACCCGAAACATGTCGATGATGAAATCGACATAGAAACTCCAGACGGGACCAAGTACCTGCGAGCTTGTATCGGCAAAGAAGTACTCTAGGCTTGGAGCGACATTTATTTTGACGACGATCTTCATCCGTCACTGCCCTCGCCGTCTCTCGTGGGTCAAGACTCTTACGACGATGATAGCAATGAGCCAAGCACTCCTTCCAGCACTCCTCCCAGCACAAGCAATCCATAGGAAGATACTTGGGCAGCATCGGGCACCGCTATACCGCCTGCAAGTGATTCAAAGGAGCAGAAAAAGCAATGTCCTCCCCCGCCGACAAAGGGTACACAAGAAGAGCAGACCACGGCATCCATTAACTACACCAAGGTGAATAAGTCGGACATCGGCTCACCGCAATAGCCAAAGAGTACGAATGCTCAACTAAGTATGAAAGGTATGATTCTAGAAGCCATAGTCATAGTAGAACATATGTGGAGGTGCTAGCAGAGTTTTTCACTCCCGAATCTCTCAACTACAGGATGCCGCCACTAGCGGCGGGTTGGCCCCTTTTGGATGATTGCCCCGAAAACTACGAGCATGGGAAGTTCATGTTGCCCTTGGGCCAGCTCATAGAGGAGTCGTGGGAGATAAGGAGGTTCCATCTCTAGTTCATGGAAGCGGCGAAAGTAGGCCTGCAGTCTTTCATTGTAAAGGTTCCAAAGGAGTACTTCAACTTGATCGACGATGCTCAAGTCGTCATAGATTTCCACGACATCCACAGGCTACTACGGCGCAAAGACCTCGACATCGCTCAAGTCACCTTGTTTGCCCTGTAAGTTAATTATGACTTTAATTCCATTGCATCGCTGTAGGTACTTTAGGAAGAAGCTAATAATACCATGACTTGTCTTTGCAGGATGCAGTCCCATGTATGCAAGGAATTGAGCCAAAAAATTATTTACCTCTCTCCGATGCACATTAGCCAGAGAACCATCGTGGGTTATGACGTACCGGATACCCATGAAGATCTTTGGAACTTGAACCCAGAAGAGAGAGTGGCAGCCCGGAAACGTCTGCGCAACGAATTCAAGTTTAAGGTAGGAGTGTACGTGTATAGATCCATGAAGAAGGTCGGGGAACATGGGTGTATCCTTGCTGCCTGCCAGTTTGCGTAAGTCAAAAGGATACTTGGAACGTATATGTAGCTACTAGGATCACCACTTTTCATATATATTCGAAGATTTGAAATCTGTATTGTTTGAATGGTGCAGCGAGGGCATCATGGGACACTAGTTTGCATTTCTAATCTATCCTCAGGATAGAAGGGCCATTGTATTCGACTCTTTGGATACTCCAAGAGAAGGGTACAAGGAACTTGAAAGCATATTGAGATAGTAAGTGATGGTACTCATTCTTTTACATTTAACATATGTGTTAAATTTGTCGTTGACACCAGTGGTTTTCGTACAGTGCTTACCGACAGTACTTGGAGGATCCCGATTCCACCGATCGTAGATCCGAGGAGGAGGAGAAGAAGAAGAATGGCAAAACACTGAAAGTCAGGCACAACTTCCCAGTACGTATCAAAATTCGTTTATGCTATTATATCATGCATGCTCTCTATATGTTCTAATCGATTATGTATTATATATCATGAAGTGCTCCAAACAACCTCATGAATCAGTATTATGTGGATTCTACGTTTGCAAGTACCTCAGAGCGTGTGGCAAATTCAGCATCAGCTACAAGCAACTCAAGAAATCACTAGATTGGTGGCGAAAGGAAAGGGTCACCGAAAAGAACTTCACTCAAACTATAGCGGACATATGTTCATTCATCTCGCACAGATGCGTGCATGTCGGGGCAAAGCTCTTCAACGAGGAGAGCGAAGAGAAGTACGAGAACATCAAAAACTGGAGCACCAAGCTACATGTCAAGGATTACAAGTTGCCGGACCTCTTTTCATTAGGTCGTAATGAGCGGCGATCTTAGTTTCACATGTTCATATATGACATGCATGTAATTAACTTCAATGTTGGTTCGTGTTACGATAAGGACGAGACATGAATGATTGTGGCATATGTATATCTATGTTTGTGCTATGCATGCGTATTTTCTACTTTGTTTGTGTTTAATTCGCGAAAACAGATTCAAATTCGAATTCGAATTCAAATGGAAACTATTTTTTTAATCTACAAAATCATTAACAGAGACGAGCAAGTAATAACCAGTCTCCTAACGGAGGTGGGCGCCTTAAGGAAACCACCTCGATTAATCTATTAACGAAGGCGGGCTGCGTAGGGCGACCGCCTCCGTTAATAGGCATTAACCGAGGCGGTTGTCTTAAGGCGCCCACCTCCGTTAATCTTTTAACCGAGAGGTGGTTGCTTTGGCCGCCTCCGTTAACCCAAAAGGCCTGCCTCCATTAAGATTTGTGCAGTAATGGTATGAGTGGGGCTAATTGTGGGATGTGCACATATTGTGGTTGAGCGAGATGGGATATGAGGAGGTAGTTGGGCAGGAGAAAATGAGGTAGGTGACATGTTTTTTTTATATAGGGTTTAGTAGGCCTTAAATGGGTTGTCTTTAATAAGGCCATGCCCATGCGCTAGCGTGCCGTTCTGCCCCACCAGACCAAGCACGGCACAGGGTGGTGGGCCGGGGCACAGGGTGGTGGGCCGGGCTAGCACGAGCATGACTCGTAGTAAGCCGCGGTAGGCTTGTGTCGTGCCAAAAAGGACGGGCCTCGGGCCAATCTGCTAAGCACAGCCCATCTAGACATATGTGATTGTGGATTCAATATTTAAGCCTTGAAGTATTTCTACGGGAAAAGTACTTACAGCATCATTGTGCGCTTATGGTATAAGTAGGTTATCATATTTTAGCCCAATAGAAATATAATTATAGGTCACAAATGAGGATATGGTGTACCAGTGATGAACTTATATATGTATTGATCATGTTGGAAAAGCATTTTTGTATTTTTCTTATAAGATTATTACATGATACATGTATAGAGTACAAGCTTATATAGCTTAAAGCGAAGGTTTCAGCCGAATCAATAACAGCACATAGAGATGCAATGCAAAGGATGAAAATGTGTTTAGAGTAATTTGAAAAATTTATCACTTCAGGATAGGGATTATAGAGTTTATAAGGGCATGTTTGGCATAGCTTCACCAACAGCTTCATGAGTTATTGTGAGCTATTTTTTACAAAGCTCCTTTTTTTTAAAAAATAGCTTCAAAGGTGAAGCTGTTTTTCTCTCCTCTCACAAAGAGATGAGTTGGGATGAAGCTGGAAAAAGTAGCTCATCCCAACTTCATCTGACACAAGTGGGACCCAGCAGTCCTAGAAGACTGCAGGCCACCGCTGGAGCAGGCTCGCGGCCGCCTGGCAGGCACGCGACCGTCGGGGGCCGCCGCCGCCTGGGTAGCCATGCGACCGCTAGGGCAGGCTCGTGGCCTCCCAGACGCGACGCCGGTGTAGGCGGCACGGTCGCGGACCCATGGCCGGGCACGAGCGTGGCCCTCGCCGGGATCTTCCTCCTTCCTCACGGATCTTTCCCTCGCCGAGAGGTGCCACCGGGCTCGCCCATCGGGGATCACAGCCGCTGGGCGCGCGCGGGGGCTCGTAGCCTCCAGAGCGCGGGTGTCGGGGCTCACGAGAGCCACCGGGACGGGCAGTGCGGTCGCCTCCATGGGGGCACACGAGTACGCGGCCGAGCGGCCCTTGAGGAAGACAGCCGCGGAAGAAGAGATGCCCGTAAGGAGTTGGAAAAAATAGAAAATAAAAAAAAATAAGATAAGGGTACTATGGTAATTTGATCTTCTCGTCCATCATATGAAGCTGTTTTGGCAAACAGGAAGAGAAAAACAGTTTAGCTTCACCGGTAGAGCTGCTCATTAAGCTAAAAAAACAGCTTCACCGGTGAAGATGAGCTATGCCAAACAGAGACTAAATGGTTCTTATGTTAGGAAATTAATATATAGAATAGACATAAATAATTTTGATTAGCTGTACGTGCTAAATTTTTATAGAAAACTTTTAATACTTACGTAACATAAGATTCTAGAGCATGCTTGAGCATGAGTTGATGGGCTACATACTGGTCATATATAACAAACGTACCATGGTAATATCTCCAATATTTTACATACCACATATGATTCTACATATATGGTGGTTTTGGTTTTAAACAGCAAGTAACAAAAGAACAGAACAAAAGAAAGTAGTACTGATCTACTGACTATTCAGTCACACTCGAAACAATTTGGTGTCGTTGTGAGACATGACAATTTGTAAAACAGCTAGCCGTCAGCTTAATTAATTTTAATGGTAAATTATGACCAACGGATATGATGGTACAATAATTGTTGATACTGTCGGTTTGTTTGTTTGTTTTGCACTTTTGCTGCAGTTTTGAGTCCCCAGAAAACCGATGAAAAAAAGGAGAGAAAAATTAACCTACAAACCTAGTAATAGTAAATTAAGGTGGAAGAAAGGCAGATATATGTTCTAATCATTACAGTTGCTTCAAAAAAAATATTATTGTTTAATTTTTTCAATATTAGATAATTTAACAGTTATGTAGGAAATATGTTTACTTCCTCAGCCAAATCTAGCTAAACTCTGAAGCGTAAATAATAGTTCTTGTAATTAATATTTGTAATGGAAAATTTATAGATCTAGATGATACCTGTGTCCTTGGCGCAGCCACTGAGAATATAAGGATTGCCAACGTAGCCAGGATTGCACCGGCAAGAATACCCGAAATCCAATGATTCTTCGTTGTCAATACACCGGCTGTTATTGGCAACACAAGCATAGTTGGTAATATTGTTTTCTTTGGCGCTGGCGCAGCTTGGTTGATCGATGATGTTCCAAGTGAGCCCGGCACCAAGTGTAGTCGCGTTTATGTAATCCCATAAAGAGCTCCGATTAGGCTGCACCTGATGAACGACACTGCTCTGGTTGTGTCGTACGAAGTTGAGCCCAAAGGCTCGAATATTTGCCTCCAAATCCACGGTGCAGCATCCAGTACCATTGCAGTTTTGCCTCGCCACCGCCTCCGTGATTTGCTCAGGACATGTAAGCGTGCAGAGGCGCACAATTGTATTAGGCGCACAATTGTATTAGTATCCCTGTCATCAAGGTACATGTCAAATCCGCAACCAGTGACATTAAACCCTGCGTATAAGACAGAGCAAAGGATTTCCCAGGAGAATTCCATGAGATATTATATACATCGACACCGTTTCTCATGGGGATGGTGTAGTTTAGGGCGATTTCAATTTCGTCGTTGTCGCTGTAGCGAGCCCCGGCATCGGCAGTGACGATATTATAGGCCACCTGGGTGATGCCATCACGTAAAGAAAGCATAGGGGGTCGAACAGAGTCGTTGCAGATGAGCTCGAAGTCTGGGTCCCGGAAGCAACCAGCTGCACCGATGCTGAAGGGGTAGTCGAAGGTTAGGTTGCCGCAGCTCGTCCGGCAACCTTCCAGGGTGGCGGCGGAGGGCGCGCTCGATGCCAGCACCGATTGTGTCCCCAGCAGTGCAAGCAGGAGCAGTTGTAGAACAACGGAGCGATTCATGAGCTTCACCATGTCGGCTCAGCTCCAACTCCAACTTCTTCTTTGCCTATATAAAATCTGTGGTTTATGTAAGGTGGAATTGCTTGGAGATTGCAAAGCAAACTAGTCTGTCGATCTATTACAGCCGCCAGACCCAAGCATATGCATTTTGCTTTTTTATACAACGATGTGAAGGGCTATATGAGCCATTTGCTCAGACATGTGTGCCGAAATGTCAATTGTCTATTGCTGTGGAAACACCGCGGAAATGATGGCAAAGGTTGCCAACCTGCCATAAGTTTTTCTACGCTGTACTTTTCTTCACGAGGTCAAGTCTGTCGAGAACTACACTACTATAGAAACTTCGCAACCGTCGCTCTCGGTCGTTGTTTATGAATGAGTAAAATACGTTGGCGGTCCATAAACTTGAAAGACGGTGTCATCTAAATTCTCAACATTCAATTTTTTTAATTTCTGGGTCCCTAAACTTTTCTTGGGCTTCAACACAGGTCCAAACAGGTTTTAACCCGCTCCATACGCCAACGTGGCATGATGACTCAGCGCTAACGTGGATCTGACTTGTTCGGTCCAATACTACCTAAACTTGCACATAGATGTCATCTAGGTCCCAACCTTCCAACATTGCATATCGAGGTTCCCAAACTTGTTGAGTAGGTCACATGAGGTACCTAAACTTGCCAAGCAGCGCCATCTAGGTCTCTAACTTCTAAAACTGTAGTCTAGGTCTCCAAACTTTCTAATCGGGCTACACAAGATCATAATTACCATTGTTTGCAATAAGTCGTATGTGTGGCTACTGACCGTGCACCTAACATGTGGGGCACACATGTCATCCCTCTCTCTCATCTCCTTCCCACTCCCTCTCATGCCGCAACCACCATTTTCACTTGCATCACCGAAGCCTGAGCACCAACACCAGCATCAATACCAACCCACCAACAACATTTGCAGCATCTCTGAGCAGCAGAAGAAGCACCACCGCCAGGACAAGTGACGGTGGCTAGCCTCCACACACTCCCTCCTGCCCTCCAACACACACACTGAGCATGGCCACGGCCAAGCCCGCCGGTCATGGGCGAGCCACGCTTCTTGCCCTTAGCTCTTTTAGCAGCCGTATCCATGCTCTGGTGGGGCTTCGTTGTAAAGTGTTGTCTGGAAGCCACTGGACCAAGGGCACGGGAGTATTGTCCGAATGGTGACAGGAGGGAGGGGAAGGAGATAGAATAGAGGGGTGATATATGGGCCACACCCGAGGGATGGAGAAGGAGATGAGAGGATGGATGACAAGTGGTCCCACATGCCAGGTGCACCGTCAGTAGCCATGCAAGAAGCTTATCGCAAAGAATGATAATTTCGACATCATGTGACCCGATTAGCAAGTTTGGAAGTTGGGGACCTAAATGCCACTACCATGCAAGTTTAGGTACCTCGTGTGACCTATTTAACAAGTTTGGGGACCGCGATATGCAATGTTGGAAGTTTGGGACCTAGATGACACCGTTGTGCATGTTTAGTTATTGGACCGAACATGTCCAATCCACGTCAGCGCTGAATCAAGTTTAAGGCGGGAGCATACGTGTATAGATCCATGAAGAAGGTCAGGGAACATGGGTGTATCCTTGCTGCCCGCCAGTTTGCGTAAGTCAAAAGGATACTTGGAACATATATGTAGCTACTAGGATCACCACTTTTCATATATATTCGAAGATTTGAAATCTGTATTGTTTGAATGGTGCAGCGAGGGCATCATGGGACACTGGATTGCATTTCTAATCTATCCTCAGGATGGAAGGGCCATTGTATTCGACTCTTTGGATACTCCAAGAGAAGGGTACAAGGAACTTGAAAGCGTATTGAGATAGTAAGTGACGGTACTCATTCTTTTACATTTAACATATGTGTTAAATTTGTCGTTGACACCAGTGGTTTTCGTACCGTGCTTACCGGCAGTACTTGGAGGATCCCGATTCCACCAATCGTAGATCCGAGGAGTAGGAGAAGAAGAAGAATGGCAAAACACTGAAAGTCAGGCACAACTTCCCGGTACGTATCAAAATTCGTTTATGCTATTATATCGTGCATGCTCTCTATATGTTCTAATCGATTATGTATTATATATCGTGAAGTGCTCCAAACAACCTCATGAATCAGTATTATGTGGATTCTACGTTTGCAAGTACCTCAGAGCGTGTGGCAAATTCAGCATCAGCTACAAGCAACTCAAGAAATCACTAGATTGGTGGCGAAAGGAAAGGGTCACCGAAAAGAACTTCACTCAAACTATAGCGGACATATGTTCATTCATCTCGCACAGATGCGTGCATGTCGGGGCAAAGCTCTTCAACGAGGAGAGCGAAGACAAGTACGAGAACATCAGAAACTGGAGCACCAAGCTACACGTCAAGGATTACGAGTTGCCGGACCTCTTTTCATTGGGTCGTAATGAGCGGCGATCTTAGTTTCACATGTTCATATATGACATGCATGTAATTAACTTCAATGTTGGTTCGTGTTACGATAAGGACGAGACATGAATGATTGTGGCATATGTATATCTATGTTTGTGCTATGCATGCGTATTTTCTACTTTGTTTGTGTTTAATTCGCGAAAACAGATTCAAATTCGAATTCGAATTCGAATGGAAACTATTTTTTAATCTAGAAAATCATTAACAGAGGCGAGCAAGTAATAACCAGTCGCGTAACGGAGGTGGGCGCCTTAAGGAAACCACCTTTGTTAATCTATTAATGGAGGTGGGCTGCGTAGGGCGACCGCCTCCCGCCTCCGTTAATAGGCATTAACCTAGGTGGTTGCCTTAAGGCGTCCGCCTTCGTTAATCTTTTAACCGAGAGGTGGTTGCTTTGGCCGCCTCCGTTAACCCAAAAGGCCTGCCTCGTGCAGTAATGGTATGAGTGGGGCTAATAGTGGGATGTGCACATATTGTGGTTGAGCGAGATGGGATAGGAGGAGGTAGTTGGGCGGGAGAAAATGAGGTAGGTGACATGTTTTTTTTTAATTTTATATAGGGTTTAGTAGGCCTTAAATGGGTTGTCTTTAATAAGGCCATGCCCATGCGCTAGCGTGTCGTTCTGCCCCACCAGACCAAGCACGGCACAGGGTGGTGGGCCGGGCTAGCACGAGCATGACTCGTAGTAAGCCGCGATAGGCTTGTGTCGTGCCAAAAAGGACGGGCCTCGGGCCAATCTGCTAAGCACAGCCCATCTAGACATATGTGATTGTGGATTCAATATTTAAGCCTTGAAGTATTTCTACGGGAAAAGTACTTACAGCATCATTGTGCGCTTATGGTATAAGTAGGTTATCATATTTTAGCCCAATAGAAATATAATTATAGGTCACAAATGAGGATATGGTGTACCAGTGATGAACTTATATATGTATTGATCATGCTGGAAAAGCATTTTTGTATTTTTCTTATAAGATTATTACATGATACATGTATAGAGTACAAGCTTATATAGCTTAAAGCGAAGTTTTCAGCTGAATGCATAACAGCACATAGAGATGCAATGCAAAGGATGAAAATGTGTTTGGAGTAATTTGAAAAATTTATCACTTCAGGATAGGGATTATAGAGTTTATAAGGGCATGTTTGGCACAGCTTTACCAACAGCTTCATGAGTTATTGTGAGCTGTTTTTTACCAAGCATCTTTTTTCAAAATAACTTCAAAGGTGAAGCTGTTTTTCTCTCCTCTCATAGAGAGATGAGTTGGGATGAAGCTAAAAAAAATAGCTCATCCCAACTTCATCAAACACAAGTGGGACCCAGCAGGCCTAGAAGACTGCAGGCCACCACTGGAGCAGGCTCCTGGCCGCCTGGCAGGCACGCGACCGCCGGGGGTCGCCGCCGCCTGGGCAGGTGTGCGGCCGCTGGGCCCAGACGCGACGCCGGTGTAGGCGCACGGTCGCGGACCCGTGGCCGGGCACGAGCGTGTTCCTCGCCGGGATCTTCCTCCTTCCTCACGGATCTTTCCCTCGCCGAGAGGTGCCACCGGGCTCGGCCATCGGGGCTCACAGCCGCTGGCCGCGCGCGGGGGCTCGCAGCCTCCGGAGTGCGGCCGCCGGGGCTCACGAGAGCCGCCAGGACGGGCAGTGCGGTCGCCTCCATGGGGGCACACGAGTACGCGGCCGAGGGGCCCTTGAGGAAGACAGCCGCAGAGAAGAGATGCCCTTAAGGAGTTGGAAAAAAAATAGAAAATAAAAAAAGATAAGATAAGGGTACTATGGTAATTTGATCTTTTCGTCCATCATATTAAGTTGTTTTGGCAAACAGGAAGAGAAAAACAGTTTAGCTTCACCGGTAAAGCTGCTCATTAAGCTCAAAACAAAAAAAACAGCTTCACCGGTGAAGCTGAGCTGTACCAAACGGAGCCTAAATGGTCCTTATGTTAGGAAATTAATATATAGAATAGACATAAATAATTTTGATTAGCTGTACGTGCTAAATTTTTATAGAAAACTTTTAATACTTAGGTAACATAAGATTCTAGAGCATGAGTTGATGGGCTACGTACTGGTCATATATAACAAACGTACCATGGTAATATCTCCAATATTTTACATACCACATATGATTCTACATATATGGTGGTTTTGGTTTTAGTAATAAAAGAAAACAAAAGAAAGTAGTACTGATCTACTGACTATTCAGTCACACTCAAAACAATTTGGTGTCGTTGTGAGACATGACAATTTGTAAAACAGCTAGCCGTCAGCTTAATTTTAATTGTAAATTATGACCAACGGATATGATGGTCCAATAATTGTTGATACTGTGGGTTTGTTTGTTTGTTTTGCACTTTTGCTGCAGTTTTGAGTCCCCAGAAAACCGATGAAAAAAAGAGAGAAAAATTAACCTACAAACCTAGTAATAGTAAATTAAGGTGGAAGAAAGGCAGATATATGTTCTAATCATTACAGTTGCTTCAAATACAATATTATTGTTTAATTTTTTCAATATTAGATGATTTAACAGTTATGTAGGAAATA